CACACACACACACGTACCCACACAAACGTTTTTAGATTATAGAATTTGCTGCTTAAGGAGGATACTTATATTATTGGGTCTTTGAGAACGCCAATCACACTTTTTTTTTTCTAGCAATATAATACCCATTGCGCACACCGCCATTTGGAGTGATTTGATTCACCCGGGACGAGCCAGATTTTCCTCCAGTGACAAGCAAAAGCATAATAATTATCTGCACAATGCAACGGATTCTTATCTTGCGACCTTGTAAAACTGTCATATATTTTATTTTGAAGGTCGCAGTCTGATTTAGTTGAATTCGGTCGCAGTGTGCCAAAACGAAAACATTTCGCTCATCTGTTACGAAAAATCTGGCTGGCACCGGCTCAAACAAATTAGAAACCTCATTGGCAGTGTGCACTTGGTATGAAATTGCCAGATAAATAAGTGAGACATCGTGATGAAACCTGTCGCTGGTCGAAGCAATGAAATCGAAGACCTCGACATTCTCCCATCATTTTGGTAACATATTTTTTTTACATTTTTGTCGATTTAATCTCCATTAAAGTATATTTCTGAGTGGATGTTGATGAAAAATGTTGAATAAAGGCCCAAAACACGTAAATTTTCAGCCTCTAAGGATTCTTGAGCTAAGAAAATCCCCAAACTTTGACCGCTCTTTTCTCGCTAGTTTTACTTCTAAAACCAGGTGACCCCCATCTCTTTCAACCGGATTTATCTCGGACCCCCTTCGCTTTCAACAGGAAATATCTCGACTTTTATTCTAGTTATCTTGGTTTTCTTTTTACTGACAGATAGACAAGTGAGCGAGCGTCAATATGATACCAACAACTCCAAATGCCCAAAAATTTACGAACGCCTGATTTAACTACGTCTATGACGTAACAGGGAAAGATCAGGGAAACGTAGCTTTTCTAAGAGCATCCGAGCAAAGGAATGAATGGAAAATCATGATCGCCGATGTCTGTCGCACTGGATGATGATGACCTTTCAGAAGACCCCGAAGACTTATCTTCCTTGTTAAGCAAAAAATTCAGCCCCTGAGGTGGGAGTCCAGAACGATCTTTTAAAGACATTGATTTTTCTGAAAAGGCCTTCGAACCGTTTACCTTTTTCAAAGTACATTTACCTGGGTGCAAAGTACCAGGTATGGCGAAAAAAACCCATCGTTTGTAGAATCAAGCTTCGTCAGCGTCTGGCTCAGAAAGTAGGTCGCTACTTTTCGACCTGGGTGAGTGAGCGAGGTGGATGAATGAAGGAATGAATGAATGAATAGCAAGCTCTGTGGCACTGAGGCAGGAAGAAGAGGAAGGACGAAGTAGGTCCGTTATTTTCTCGAGTGTGTCTTTGATGTTTTCGAGGTTTTTATGTTGTTGGGGAGGTGTAGCTTCGTTTGTGTTGAAGTGTGGGCAGCCTGGTGACTCTTGACCTATGGGGAAGAAGCGGGTAGTGAAGGCCAGGTGGTCTCCTTGGAGATCTTTCGTGTGTTTCTGATATAGACATTTCTTTTCTGTCTTCTTATCTTTTGTGGTTGTTTCATTGTTGTTGTTCTTGTAGTTATTGTTGTTGTTGTTGTTGTTGTTCTTATTGTTGTTGTTGTTCTGTTTTGTTTTTGTGGTTGGTAATGCTGGTGGTGTGTTGTTGTTGTCGTTTTTGTTGCTGTTGTTCTCCCTACATCTTTTTTCTCATCTCTCTCTCTCTCTCTCTCTCTCTCTCTCTCTCTCTCTCTCTCTCTCTCTTTCTCTCTCTCACTGAGTCTCCCCCTCCGTGTCTGTGTATATGTTTAAAGTAGGTGTAATGTGTTGAAGATTTTTGTTCTCATTCTGTCAAACCGAATATCCAAATATATAATGCTATCCATCTGAATGGAACCTGTTGTATAGTATCTGTCGACCTGTTTTAGTCCCTGTTTGTCAGTGTCAGCCCCACTGTGTCAACGAATCTTTTTTGCGCACCCCTCCCACTCACGCGTGCCCCAATCCCTCGTTTCCTGCACATGGCTTGATACCAAAATCTGTTTCCATTACAGATTTTATGGTTGATACCAAATACGCTCAGATCACAGAGTGCGATTTACGAACCGAAAGGATCACATTATGTAAACCTGGTGTGTGAGGTCATGTGAGGTCATTAACCCTTCAGTGTCTGACCCGAAGCTTTATTATTTTTGTTACAGTACGAGTTTTACGGCACTTGTAAACTTACAACAGAAATAGGTCATATTATAAGTCAGTGTGTAAGATTAGAGGTGTTACTAAAGAGAGAAACAGGCTAGAAAAAAAAAGATGGGGCAGAGAGATTATAAGGATGATAGGAAGTAAGGAGCGAACCTCACTAGAGCACCCGCCTAACACCCACGGTCCAAGAATGTCTGCGGCTCTTTGTCAAGAATGAGGAACAGGTGTGTCAGGGAAAGGGTTAATGCTAAACTGGAATTTATGAGGAGGGAAATAGAAGCTGGATAATATTACCTGTTCGTTGTTATGATACTGTTTAACGTATCATGTTTGTATGTTCACCGTCTGGTTTTTTAACTTGTTTATTTTTATGTAGGTTACTGTGTGATGAGTAATCGTGTGTATTATTTGTGTGTGCACGTGTGTGAGTGTTTGTGTTTATGTGCTTATTTATGTGAATGTGGGTATGTACGTGTGTATTTGAGTGCGCATGTGCCAGTACGTTTATGTGTGTGTGTGTGTGTGTGTGTGTATGTGTGTGTGAGTGTGTGTGTGTGTGTGTGTGTGTGTGTGTGTGTTTGTCTGTGTACTTGTGTGCATGCGTTTGTTGGAGTGTTATGTTTACCTGTTCTCTAAGTGCTTGAATACAGACTCTATGGTTTTGCTAGGCCCCCCCCCAAAAAAAAAATTTTTTTTTTTTTAAATTTAAAATTATTATATGTGAGGCAGCGTGGTGGAATCAGGCTCTCGTCAAAATAATCAAAGTGAAGAAACTTTCATTTTGCCGCTGGTTTGTAATTTTTTTTTATAATTTTTTTTTTTTGGCTCAACACCTTTCATTCCCATTATAGAATTCATTTCTGTGTGGATTTTTCTGAAAAACGTTGATTAAAGGTACAAAAATTTAAATTTTCAGTTACCATGGACTCAAAAACTAAGGAAATAATTTTTGGCGGTCATTTTCTCACTAATTCTACCTCTGAAAACAGGTGACCCCCACCTCCTTCTTTTGCAAATATCTCTTCACTTTGATTATTTTGACGAGAGCCTGATTCCACCACGCTGCCTCACATATTATGTTTATATCACCGTACTCATTATTGGGGACAGAACCGCCTTGAATGTCATGTCTGGTTGATGGTTCTTCTTGTTGAACCTGGTGGGATTTGCTCTTTCTCTCCCATCACACATCAACCGTACTCATTTCTCCTCCTTCTTTTTTATAATACAGTCTAGTAGCACCTCTAACATTTGGCACTAAATATCCTAATGTGTTTACCTCAAGCGCTGTCATAATAATAAAGAATAATAAATAGCATTTGTACAGCGCCTGCCCCCACTCGAAAGCAAGCTTTTGCGCTTTACACTATATTATTACCCCAGCAGACCATAGAACACTCAGAAACATTCTCAGCTTCCCGGGAAGCATACAGTGCAAGCAGCTGATTAAGCGCTCAAACACTAACAAACTGACAAGATCTTTCGCTGTCTATATAATAGCTCGGGTACCCATTCCCACCTGGGTGACGTGGGGGAAAATTCGTGTAAAGTGCCGTTCCCAAGACACAACGTCGGCCTGTGGCTCGAACTCACGAACCCTCAACCTCACGATTACGAGTCCGGTCGCCTAACCACTAGGCCACCGACGCCACTGTACTTACTACGTGGAAC